TAATGTGTTTTGGGGCCCGCTTGTTCAGAATTATGGGTAATGATATGAGGTGCGCAAAAGAGTGTTTTGGATTTTGGACCCTCAAACTACAGGAAAGATTCACAACGAACTCTCCCTTTTTAGCCTGAAGGCTTGCGGAGCCCGAGGCCATTACTACAAACTTTCAGGGCTACGGGTTCCGCTTATCTAGAAATGCTCCGTTTGAGATATGGCCTACACAGCTTTGTCCTGCAACTTGAAATTGAAGATGCTGCGCCTTAAGGATGAAGCTGCAAAATCACCCCGTAATCATCGAGCTTCTTCTGACAGCATCCCTGCTGAAGCCAGCCTTGTCATCTTGATTCTGGAAAACCTCCGTTCTGGGACCTGACTACCTGAGCTTCCTGAAGCAGCTACAAACCCTAATTGCTACATACCTTCTAAAGACGGCTAGCATGCCCAAGCCCACATGGATCATGTCAACTGTAGGCAGCTGGCCACTTGAAGGCTGCGACCATCCGATCTTCCTTGGACCTGAAGGGGTAGTGGGCTTGTTGGAAGCTGAGGGGCTTTAGGGAAGCTGAGGGGCACGCACTCAGAGAAACAAGACCCGGAACCCGAAGCCCTCAACCCTTCACCTGCCTCACCTTCAACCTTCCGTCATGACACAACCTGCAGCCCCTGAGCTCAGACAGCGGCGGATGGAACCTCGCAAAAGCTCCTCTTAAGACTGCTGTCCTCGTAAACCTTGAGAAGCCCGTGTGTTTGCAGTAGAATATAAACAAAAAATCCTGGTCCACGCATTGAGGCCTATGCAGCACATCTGCCAGTCTAGCCCTAGATCCGAAAAACGTCGAACCTGTCTATGGCTCTGACAAATGTTCCAAGTCAGTGCCATTGTAGTAGAGCTTGCCCAGTAGCTCTTGGGACCTGGCTCATCAATGTGGCATAAGAATATGGAAGCTGTCTGACTGTATTCATTTAAGGCTTAGGGTTTAAGATCTTCGGGCCTAAGTAAAACGAATTGTGAAACATATGAAAAATGGATTCCTACTAGAGACTGCATGTAGCGTGTCTAGAATTATGAGAGGGTTGTGAGGTGTAGTAGCATATGTAAGGGTTGTAAGGCAAAAACATTGGCAATGTTCAGTTTCTACATGACGCATACCACCTGGTCATCCTCCTGTGGGAGTCTCTAGAAGTGGATGGAGCCCCTCGCGAAACCTAGGTGTATATGGGGAAAATAAAAGGGCTCTGGGGGGTCTTTAGCGAGCTTTGCACGGGCGTGACTTTCAGTAGCCTTGACATCACTTCCGCACTGCAGCGACCTCAAGAGAACAGCCACAAGTGACGGATCAAGACAAAGCCAAATCTGCGCTGCAAGCCCAATATGCACGCCAATAAGAGCCAATTCTTCCCCAGGAGTCACAAGGACAACTCAATACTAGTGTTGTCCAGATAGCATTCAGATTTAATCCGAGCACTTCATCAATTTGGGCCCCCCCACCAGAATAAGAAATGGAGGGCACAGGATTAAAAGAATGATCGGGACTCTTGGAGCTGTAGTACAAACTGAATAGGAATGTATTGAATCTCTATTAAAAATTTTTGGGGCTCTTGTTGATTACAAATGAATAGGAATGTATTGATATCTCTAGTTATTGAATATCTCTATCTTCAGGATTGGTTCCCAAAAACGTTCTTTAAATGTGGTCTCTTTTCCCCCTACAAAAACCACCTAAATGTAGCTAGTCTTTGGCGGCTACTTTCACCCAAAAATTTATTTACATATGGTCCCTTTCATTAATGAGGTGCTCGGATTAGTTGTTAAAGGACCTGCAGCCTAGTCATAACTTGGTTTGCCTGCTTTCTCAGAAGGTTTTGAAGATTTTCAACCGGAGCTTAGCCGTCTAAGACAATCACACTTTGGAACCAAGCCGTCAAGTCTGTGTGTCTCAGTGCTACTAACGTCAGGCAGAACTCCCGGAGCCAGCCAGACTCCAGGAAATCCGCAGAAGCACAGTGGCAAAGCTCGCAGACGTTCACAGCAACTCTCCCAACTCCGTGGCTGTGTCGGGGCCAGCCCGCAATGCCGCAGAAGCTTCAAACGTCTGGACATAAGGCCGCCGAAGCCGCTTTGACGTCCGTACCACACGCCATCCTGAAATTCCTCGCTAGGGCGCCCATGTGTAGTTCTGTTAACTCACTTCGGGCGTTAGAAACGCTGTCAATCTGAGATACGGCCGCTGGGTTACAAGGACCAACGGAGAAACATGATGGCGCTAATAGATACAGGGTACGAACTCTGAGCCTGGTCGGAACGCAAACCGCCCTTCCACGCCCTTCCACAACGCATACTGGGTTCCCGGGCTTCACGCTACCTTGCTCAGCCGCTTTCTCCCCATAGCTGATGGCGCGGCCTCAGCTGAGTACGGCTGTGAATCTGATGAACCCTAAGCCCACGACCCAGATACTATAGTTTCGATTCAGTTTTCCGCTCCTCCCTTCCCTAGCAACTGCCAGAAACGAACAGCTCTTTAACAAGAACAGCAGTAGAGGTAACAACAACAGGAAGAACATAATCAACAACAATTACGAAGAAATGGTCAGCCATTACCTACAGTTCCATGGGTTATACTACTACTTGGGGCCCAGGGGGGGGGAGGAATTTCTGCTTAGCCGCAGGTAACTGGGCTTGCAGGGAAGCATCGATTTTTTTGCTGTGGGGTTTGGAAGACGCGTCGACAGTGCTCCTGTCTGAGGAGTTCTGGCGCGTGTGCCTGTTGAAATTTTGCAATTGGGAAGCCCAGGAGGAAGAGTAGTAGCGGTTGCCTTGGTGGTAGTAAAGTGGCAGCTACGTAGTTATAACAGTAGTAGTAGTAGTCGTCGTCGTCGTAGTATGACTATGACACAACTACTGCTGCAAGTACAAGGGCTTCTGGATGACCCCGCTTTGGAGTTCGTCTCTCCCTTCTTCACATGCTTAAACTAATTGCCAAGCATAGTGTTTGTCACCTTCCCCCAACAAACAGAAGCTTATATGCCCTCGTTTTCAAAGGACGGTGGCCGCTGCAGGGCCCATTTTTTCCTTCTATGCTAGTTGGGAGGAGTCGTGGCTGTAGGGATGAGGTGGCAAAAGCGGCACAATTGTCCCATTGCAGTAGGAACCACTTTTGCATGCTTTCAAAAAAATCTTTGCAGATGGCAGCATGATGCTTCTCAGGGATGGCAGCTACCTAATCTCCAAGCACTAACGCACAAATGCCTTGGAGAAGTAGGTCTCACTGCCAAGAGCAGGTCCATCTTCTCCGCCGTAACAAATACGAAGGCACCATATAAATGAACATGCCGACCTTAAATCACGAGATTTGTCGTTTCTATAAGGTATATTCCGTACTTAAGTGGCCAGAACCCAATCTGACAACCTAACTAACAGCCACCAGTACTCCATTGCCTACAGCCCCAGATGTGAGAGATGCTCTGTCTTCGGAACCCCAGGACACAAAAATTTTGAGGCTCAGCTCGATAGCTTTGGATTTTTGACTCTGGAATAATGTTTTCGGCTCCAAGCTTCAAACATGACAACATTAATTCAATGCCTAGCAGCCACTCAGCAACCTAATGAACCTCTGCTTTCCAGAAATGCTGAACACCGACGTTGAAAGCTTTACCCAGACACCCTAGAACGGGTGCCTGCGGGAGTACGACAGCAGCTTTCAAGTCATTTGCATGAAAACAACTTTTTTTCGGCAATAACAGATTAGTAGTGGCGAGGCAAAGTTGATTGTCAAGCTCCTGACCCTGAACCCTCAAACATTAATCCTAAGGTGTGACTCTTAACGTCAAAATCTGCAGGCCTGGAGGATCGGCCTACTTGGTAAGTAGTCAGTAGAATTCACACACCCTATACTCCAAACCATAAGCCAGAACATCTCAGCAGCCTGAAATCATACACCCTAAACCCTAAACTGTAACCCAGCACATCTCAGCAGTGTTTTTTGCACTCCTCTGCTGGTCGCAGCTGGATGACTAGGCAGCCTTTGTGCCACGGGAGGTGCATAGCCTGTATACCAAGTAGGAATTTAGTTAGGGTTTGGGTTTCGGACTTCGGGACTATTTAAGGTTTCAGGGTTTAGTCTATTGGTTGGGGTCCCCCAAGGTATTCCGTTCTGAACAACACTAAGCTGCACGGACCCCAGCAAGCATCTGGAAATTTCCAAGGAATTCCTGTGAAGGATCTGGTAGGAGTAAACGTGAGAAGCTCCCATACAGGCCTCAAGAGGGAGACTCCCAAGACTGCCTTTCCAATGGCTTGGTGGCCGTCCTAGCTTCAGAAGGACTGCACCTCCCATGCAAGGTCATGCATTGTTGATTCCAAGGAGGCAGCTAGCACGGCACAAGCAGGTCACAGGAAGAAAGGAGGAATATCCTCAGGAGGTCCAGATGCTTAGGGTTCAGGGCTTGGTCTTACGGATTCAAGGTGCAGGGCTTTGGCTCAGAGATTTAAATGGAGTCAAGAGCCCCCTGCTTTGAGAAGATGTAAAGACAGCCATGCGACTTCTAGACTAGACTCTAGCTGACTCTAGCTGCACTTATAGGTTAGATGGCAGCCTCCAGAGCTCAAGGAGAGTGAAGGCAGGGAGCTTCAAGCTAGGAAAAACCCTAAACTCCAAGGTTCAACTCTGAATCACTGAACCTGACAGGCCAAAAGATCTGCCTCGGTGCTCAGGGCATTAGTAAGGATGTTTTCTCTCGTCTGGTGACCAACGTCCGACATGGCAGTTAATGTGAGGCGGCGTCATGAAGTTGATTTTGGGCTCCGATACGCTCAACATATTTACTCCAGTCAGAGTTTGTCATCTGGGAATTTCTCACCGTGGCGTTCCGCCCTGCAAACCCCAATTTGCTGGCTCACCCTCAAGAACCTCCTTCAAGCTCTTGGAGCATAGTAAGAAACTTGGTAGATAATACTTCAAAAGGTTTTATGTTTTTGCAGGGATACTCTCCCTCATTCTCTACCCCAAGCCCTCAAACCCAAACGCCCTAAGTAGCTTTTCTTCCCTTTTCTCCTCCGAAATCCAACATCCTACTGCTTTTTTGTAAATTCCGACTTCGGGGAAAAATGTGAGTACCTGAACGCCCAAAGTAGGTAAAGTAATAGCCCAAAACACTTGAATATAGCCTTCTACATACCCTTGGAGTTCAGGTATTTGTTATAGGCTTCGAGCCCCAGGGAAAGTACAAAGTAGTCAAGTCCTTCAGGTTGCTGCGCGCCCTCGGGCCTCCTGACCACTTTGGCTTTTTGTCTTCAGGATTGAGCAGCTCCCCATGGAGTAAGGGTTGGGACGATCTACCGATACATATATACACATATCTATATTTATATATATGTTTTTATATATAATATACATGTGTATACACATATGAACGGATGCGTATATATATATATATGCAGGGAATTCACACGATGTTCTGTCACTTTCCCAGACCACAGGAGCTCATTGTGGTTTGTCAAGGCTCGTGTAGACTCCCTGTGGAAGCTCCCGTCCGGAAGTTGCGTCAGAAAGGGGTGTGAGCTCAGCGGTTCATGAACCTGAAGTCTTGTCTAGGTCAGTTGAAACCCTAAACCCTCAACCCTAAACCCTAAACCCTTGGGAACAGCAGCTCTACACTCCGGAGGCCCAAAACCCCGCCAAATCCTCTAACCACTGCCACGAAATTTGAATTGGGATGCATGCTTACCTAACTTGGTACATTACAAGAGTGCTATAGTGATAAACGATAAGAGGCCGTAAGATCTTACCTGGTTGATCCCCCCCAATGTTAGAACCCCCCCTACTGATGTCAAATAAAAGTTCAGTGGCCCAAATAAGCGGAAGAGCACTTTAAAGGGCAAGACTTCTTTTAAAAGGGGCCACCTAATAATAATGAACTAGTGGGGGGGTTCTGGCATTATGAACTGAATATTCAATTTAGTATTCATCGAATAGATAATCGTAATTGGCTAAATATTCAGCTAATGGATAAAGCAGTTAAGTAGTTGATTTGGTTCATTAATGAATGATCAGACCTATCTAACTCTTTCAATGAAAACCCTAAGAAAAGATTGCTCGGGCCGCGTTAGATTTGATGTTCAGGGTCAGGGGGGACGTTGTTTGATATTAGGTGATGTTGAGGGGCGGGGGGCGTTGATGAGTTTTTCCCTGCTTAGTTCTCATCAAGTCAGAATTCTAGTGGACGTAATTAAGCGGACGCAGACAGGCTTTATGGGCGCGGCGTGCTAATCACCTACGTTTTGCGAATGTGTGGTTCCACCTACTTGATAGTGTAGGGGCATGATTTAGTTTGGATAGTATGAAGTATCAGGCTGGCTATGTAAGACCATATAATCATGAAACGGTTAATTGCTACTAATGCTTCATGCGTCTAAATTAAATCCAATTTGTCCTTGAAAGCGAGGTCCCTCATGCATGAATCGAGGACGCCCTCCCAAGAAGCTCCAGCCAACAAACCTGCACCCCAGACTGCTGAAGCATTAACCAGGGCATGCTGGCATGCTTCCCCCAGAGCCCCGGAAACCCGCCGCAATTCAGGGAGCGCAATACCCCCGAAGGTTGCTAGCATGGTATCATGTACTAGATATTCCTTCATTAGTTAAAGTGCCTTGGAACCCTAAACCCTAAATGATATTTAGTAGTTTCCATTGTCTTTTCCGTTCACACATTTGGGGCCCTCTGGTAAGCCCTCTAAACTCTAAGCCCGAAAGCTTCAACAGGGGTCTGGCAAGGCAGGCCTCCATCTGCTGTTGCCATTCGTGTAGGAATTGCACTCCTTCCTGCGATCTCCCTGAAGGTGAAGGGGTTTAGGATTCATAGGTTGACGTGGCTGAGGGTTTTGCAGTTCACCACTCTCCGCCGAAACCATGGAACCGCCGCAAAATCGACTCTCTCAGCGTAGAGGGTAAAGAGTTCACGGTTCAAGTCTTATTGGCTTTGGGGGTTACGGCGTAGGTTTAGGGTTTAGGGTAGTCCGGACCAAGGCGCCGATCAGCTCGTAAATGCCGCTAGTGCGAGGTTGGGCAGGGACCGGGCGGAAGACAAACTTGGCGATGCCTGAGCTTCTTGAGGGCAGCACATGCCACACGAAAGCACCACAAAGCTCCAAAGAGGCCAAATGGACCTCAATTGATCTGAGGAAGATATTCCCGAATGATTGGGAGATCTCCTACTTTGACTCAAGGAATAATCCTAAATTCGAGGTATTACTGGGCTTTCTGGTGACACAGGCCGTCACATGCCCTCACGTATCACGTTCTCCCGGCAAGCCTTGCCTTGCCTACCCCACGATCTATCAAAAGGCTTCTTAAGGAAGCATGGTTTCTACAATATACGGGGGTGGCATAGAAATAATGGAAAACATGGAAACCCCTATTATGATATATTATGGTATACGTTGAGAAACTTACTTACATCATTTCTAGTCCCAATGTTGTCTGGCGCCTGCGGCCTAGAATCGACTTTTCTGCTCCGGGGCCAAGGGCTGGTCGCAAATAAAATTGAGCAGGTGTCGTAGATGACCTCCAGCTCAGTACGGTTTAGGGGTGTAGGGTTTGGGGTTTAGGGTGTAGCGGGATTAACGCACAAGCCTTAGAGATTTGGGGTTTAGAGGGTCTCTTGTATACTGTGCGCCAAAATGTTGTCATCCTCATTCTAGGGACACCTCAGAAAACGCCCGTAGATTTATCAGCCCCCCTACCTTAATGAAGGTCTTCATGAACTGGGCCACCCCTTTGGCGGCTGCGCGTCTTCTAGTGCAAGTGTGGATTCTGCCGAAATACAGGCGTAGCAAAAGACTGGAGAGACTCTTTTGAAGTACGTGTACATTGGCATTCTTCATCATCTGTTCTTGCAATTTCACAGAGTCGTGAATTCCTTTACCAGAAGTCCTAAGCCCTTGCCCAACTTGAGCTCTTATCCTCTCGCCATGTTTGCAAGAAGGAAAATGCCAACCAAGAATCGCAGATTGTGGCCTTTCGTGGACCAGTTCTTGCTGCACTGAACGCAAAACGCCAACAGGGGCGAATGGCTCACGAGAGGGCACCATCCCAATTCTTTGGAAAGCGCAACCTAGTTGCTGAGTTCACTGGCCCATAAGCGCCTGTCTAATTTATACTAGGGCAGGATTAGATAGAACCCAAAAAAGTGCAAGGTTCAGCCAATCCTGGGGCTCCGGCTTTCAAGATTTGGAAGTTGAGGGTTTTGCTTGGCAAGCTCGTTGAGCCTTGGCTGCCGGGCCACCGACTTGATGAAATGCTTATTCATGCTTAGCTAGCAATAGCGGCATGGGTCTTGCGGGTTATTACAAGGGTTCTAGTTTAAGGAGATTGTATAGCATTGCAAGTGATGCACGCCCCGAGGAAAAGACGCATCATCTCCTTGACTTTGCAGGTCGTAGCCTGACACCTCTGCAAAAATGGAATATTGCGGCAGGACGAGACTTTCGTCGCACTACTGCATCCTTGCAAAGTTCCTGCTGAAAACCCCCTGCCCAGTAGACTCCTCCACCAAGTCCTCAGTCCGGAACAATTGCAGTCTTATGAATCTATTCCAGGGGATTAGTTCCTTCGCTAGCCGGGCCAGTGAAGACGCACTTTCCTGTACTCCGCGTCCTCCGCAACAAGCAAACGCGACGAAACTTTATTCCCGGTGATGTAGGGGTACTATAGGGATACACAGGGGTTGTATAGGGATAATATAAAAAAGTGGGAAAGAAACTGGAAACTAGTATAGTGTTTAGGGCTTAGGATCTGGGGTCTAGGGTCTAGGGCTAATTAAGGCGTCCCCCTATTCATGGAATTCTCCAAATAAATTTGTCACCCGAAAGTCTCACATTGAGGTGTGTAGCGTCTGTGATTGTAGACTTTCAAACTGCAACACATCCAGAACAACCGAGGGAATCCCTACCACGAACAGCCGCTCTGCGTGTGATACTGGGGTTTGGGTTTAAGGTTCAGTGGCTTGCAAGCTCCAATGTTCCGTGGCGTTCCGTTGCATGGGAAAGCGGTAAAAATACGCCTTGATGGCACAGCCCCAAGCCTTGACCCCGCGAACCCCAAATCCTAAACCGCAGCCCAAACTCAGCCGAACTTCTCATGCTTTTAGTGAGGTCAGCTTGCAGGTCCTGAAACTAACAGGAACCCCTCTAGGCCCAAATCATATACTTGCCACGTACTTTGACCCTCAAGCTTGTGTGAGATTGGCTAGTACGAATCAACAAACCCCAGCTACAACACCTGTGAAACCCGCCGACCTCAACGATCTATAATGGAAATTGGTTGGGGCAAGTGATTGATGGACATCTACCACGAATATAGGCCTAAGTAATTAGAACGGGATTTTTTGGGGAGCTTGTATCATACCCTGTCAGGGATTATACGGGAATGTTGTTGGTATGCATTCAGGCTTCTACATTACATAATTCCATCTGCAATCCCAACGCCCATTTGATGTTCTATCTTCTGTTCCATTTGATTCTGCATTACTGCGTATTTGCTTGAAACCTAGCAACCCCTACAATCATCTCTTCAAAGGGGTCGCTATAACCTCAGCATTCCGAACCTCCACAGAAGCTTGTTTTCGCATAGAGCCATGGGAGCGTCTGAATGAAGGTGACCAGTGGCACCCCCAGGCATGTAGGGATTCTAAGGGGCCTCATGGGGGATCTCGTAAGAAGCATGCAAGGAGTCTTTTTTGAGAAATACCCAGATCAAGAAACTTACTGCGCAGAATGAGAGGGTTCCGAAGATGGTTTGAGGTAATAATTTTCTTGTACGCTGACTTGCAAACCCAGATTCACATTTCGAGTTGTCGTATCAAAAACTGAAGACTCATCTTCAAAGATGACCAAGAAGCAAAAAAGCTGCCGGAGTGAAGCCAAGGCACAGGTAGATCATGACAAACCGACTTGGGCCCTGCGCTGAACATCACTGCACCATAGTTTAGGGGTTTGGGGTTTAAGGTTTAGGGGTTTAGGTTTCAGGGTTTACCTTCAACCCCAATACAATCGCTAGATAGACCACCTTTATGGTTGGAGGTTCAGGCGCACACTAAACCCTAAACGGCAAGCGACGAAGAGAGCAATGAATGTTTTGTATTTGAGCGTTTTGAAGTTTATAGGCCCCGAAAGCAGAGATCTACAATCTACCAGGGGATCCAGTTAACAAAGCTGATTCTCTATGGTTGTTTAGCATAATCAAACTCAACGAAGACCTGCAAGTACACCTAAGCTTCCAGCCACTCAACTTTAAACCCCAAACAAAGCCGCTACATGCCGCCACCAAGTGAAGCCAGGCACCTGTCTGCAAGACTGGAAGACGCTCTTCCAGTCACTGACCACCGTCTGCGTTGGGGTGGAGTGCAGCGCCACCTCTTAAATACAAAAACCTGACAACTAGAATAGGGCTTGGGGTAGTGTCTACTACACGGATTATTCTTGCTCAGAAATTCCTTCTACACGTTTCCAAGAAGCAAGCGGACTAGTCACATCTCCAAGTGGAATGACGTTGAAAAGGAGGCCTCCCCAAAACTAACGTTAAACCCAACAACGGCCCACAAAGACCCAAACATCTTAAACTGAAGCTCATTGCTCATGGGTCTGCATGTTACTTGGGGGAACATTAAGACCCAAACCTCCAGCCCTATATATCCCTCCAATTCAAGCCCCATGAGGCCCTCATATGGGATTCCACGATTGCTTCTGGAGGGTAATCCTAAACCCTAAACCCTAAATCCTAAACCCTAAACCATAAACCCTAAACCCTAAATCCTAAACCCTAAATCCTAAACCCTAAATCGTAAACTCTAAATCCTAAGCCCAGCAGCCAGCTTGAAGATCTCAAGGCCAGCAGCGGGAATGGTATCCTTCTTCTGGAAAGCCGCCTTTCAGGGGGGAAACAGCTTGGGGGTTTCCAAAAAATGGGGGGGTCCCATTTAAAAGGGCCATATGGTCGCTGTAGGAGTATATTGGGTTTAAGGCTAGAAAGAATTATGTGGGGACTACCCTTGGCATTCAATCCCGTCTTCCCTACTAATCACCACTAGGGCAAGGACGCGGAGCCCGGAGTCTCGCTCTAGCTGACATGCTCTCTTTGAACTCCAAAACTTGGAAAGTTAGAACAAGACATACCTTTTCACTCCGCAACAGGCTCATGCGTTGGGCGTTGTCTTTCAGGCAACCAGACACCTGAAGAGGCCTGTTTGATTAGCATAGCTGTTAGGGACTGAAGGAATGGGGGCTGGGGAGGAATACTATGAGGACTTATTCCCCCATTCCCACTAAGCATGCGTAGGTGTCACAATCCCCCTAGGCGGTTGAACCATGTAAGTCTACATTCTTGAGAGATCTTACACCAGAAGGACAACATAATCTTACTCCATTTAGGGCTTAGGTAACATCTCGAGATTTATACTACTCAAACGTTGGCCCCGCAGGTACTTTTGCACCATGCCTCAAGGAGGTCGCTGAAGATCTCACGCGGTTCCTGCCAAACAGGTACTTTCTTGCAGCACGAGCACGACGACTCTCATGCTTGAATTTGAGCAGTTATTGTGTTTATACAACCACTGCAAGTGTTAACTATGATTATGTACATTGCTGTTGCATTTTCCTGTGGCATTGCAATGAGGCAACCAAGTTAGTTATGTGGTTATATGGTTAAAACTTAATGCGCTAATTTATTGAAATTTGAAAACAACGAACTTCAGCACCGTAATAGAAACCAAGCCCAATAAGAATGATCGATCGCATAAACGTACGGTAGGTCTACGCCCCCTCCCTCTATTTGCCCGTGCCAAATGCCTGCTCATCAGAATGTGCTGTGTATTACAGTGTTTTGGTGGTTGTGGATGTGGCAGAAGTGAAAGTTATTATGGGTGCCGGCATGCATTCACTTGTCGTGGATGTGGTCGAAGTGAACGTTATTATGGGTGCCGGCATGCATTCGCTAGTATCTTGTTTCGCTGTAGAAACAGTAATCTTGCAGTTGTGGAAGTTTTTAAACGGATGCTATGACCGTGGATGCGCACGTAACATGAAGATGCTGCGGGCAAATGGGGGGCGGGGTGTGGGCAATCCTAGTAGTCATGGCCATAGTAATAACAACCGGAATAAAGGGCACACTTATAGTCAAACTAATTAAAAAAACTCACCAGTACTCTGCAACCATCATGACTTAGCGAACAAGCGTGTTTTCCCCGACTTAGGCTGTGTAAACGAGTACTATAAAGAATTTTTTATCTCTACATTTCAGTAGTAATTTGAAGCAGAAGCCACGGTCAAGGCAAGGCAATAGTAGCAGCATCACTTGCTTCCAGTAATATTAGTAATGCTGAATAAAAACAACAATGAATACATGCATGGGTATGGGCGCATACAGGCCACAAACGGGATTTTAGTAAATGTGAGGAGTAAAATGACTACAGTACTGACACGAGTAATAAGTGTACAGTGTACATATTCTTGGTCTCCGACTTTCCGAAATTCGAAAGTAAATTCCCGAGATGCCGGCATGGTTTTCGAATCCGAACACGATTTCAAGAGGAGTTCTCGGACTTTGCCTATCTTCTAAGAGAATGCCAGTGCGAAAACTGTCAGGAAGCGCACTCTCGTAGTGTCCCTATATAAACAATTTTAGGATATTATAGTATAGTCTAGTGTAATATAGAACAACTTACTGTATTGGGTGCTTCCATTTTCTTTTCCAATATCCCTATATAACCCTAGCATGCAATGCCCTCTATCAGGCCTTGATTCTCAACTCTTCGTCCTCTTCCTTGGGTGAGGTGGATGACGTTAACTAATGAGACTTGATGTAGGGGTCTAAGTACTTGGAATATGGCTTTGGGCTCCTGTGATATGAGGGTTATAGCGGGAGTGATCTTGGTAGTTTTTCAGGTTGTTACACTAGTCATGCTTAGTTGGTAGTGGGGGAATGCATCCTTGCAGCCGCGAGTAGTCAGCCACCATCACATTATAGCCCTATACTGGGTCCTGTAACCCAGTCCACCATTCTGTACTAAACATTATCAACAACATGACCCCCTTCCAGGGGATATTCTTGTGTAAAGCATTGGGCTCAATGAATGGGCAATTGCTTCACTTGCGTGGACACTTGCAAATAGAGGAGAAGGAAAAGAGCATGGAACCTACTGAAAACTGTTTAGGGTTTAGAGTCTGGGGCTTACAATTTGGATTGACTCAGAATGTTTCATGTCGAGAAATCTCATACACGCAAATGACTAGTCTCAATTACAGTGGCTGCTGCCCGTCTTGGAGGCCACCCACAAGTGGCGGCTTCCAGATAGCAGCCACCATTTGAGGGGTTTCAACCCCTTGGGTTGTCAGGCTTCTTGCAATAATCATATTTGAGAGGCTTAGCCAGGAGGGCTCAGACCTGTGTCAAGAAAACCACCAAAAAGAACTCTAGCTGGGGGCAATGAATGTTCTCATAAAGCACGTCACCTGCATCCACCAATCGTCAAGCACCGGAAAAGGACAAACACAGCACATTCCATGAAGTCAACCCCTACCTGTTGAAATGGGGAAACCACATGCGGGCTTCACAAAACAGGCACGGTGGCCCTTGAAACAGAACAGGGGATTGCAAAGGGAGCATGCTGGCTGGGCTTTCAGATTCTGAGAAGCTCCTGAATCCTGAGCATCCCCCCACTTTGAGCCTTGGAGTCGGTAACTAATACCCAGACCCCCTAAAGGATCCAAAAAATGGAACCCCCCCAATATGAACCCATTACTACAGTGGGGAAACTAGGAGGATATTAAGAGGTTCCATTTTCGTCATTTGCTACTTGGCCAAGCAGCATCGGACACCAACGGTGGGCTCTGCTCAGGCTGAGGCTTCTCCAAGGCCTTGGAGGCCTACTTGATTATTCAGGGTTTTAGGGTTTAGGGCTTTAGGGTGTTTAGGGTGTTTAGGGTTTTAGGGTTTAGGGTTTTAGGGTTTTAGGTTTAGGGTTTAGGGTTTTAGGGTTTTAGGGTTTGGGACGTATGCCTGTTATCGGGGTCCCCTGTGATTTAAGCATAATCGCAATACATTACATTGCCCGAGCTTAAGCATCAGCAGGCCTCAACCCTGTGGCCATCGACCTGCAAACCCAGAATCCTGATACAAACTCGGATTACGATTACGGATCCGGTGCTCGAATTTGACATATCCTGTTACTACCCCTGCTATATAACGCATTATAATGGTTACCGATTGTATTTTCCATTATCCCAATATAACCCCAAAAGACTATAATCCTTGTTATCCAAAATGGTACCCCTAATTTTGGGAGGCTGGAAAGCCGCAGTAAAGATTGAAAACGCGTCTTGGTCTCCCACCTTTCCAAGGGGCCGTGGGAGAGTTGGCAAGCAGTTCTTTGCCAGTCTTGACATTCTAGGAAGGTATCAACAAAGGCACAACTTTTCATCTCTAACAGAACATGCGCACCCTCAGGACTCAATCTAAACTTCATTGCCTTCAACATACGGCAAAGGCCCTAATAATTCTTACTATTCCGGATATAGCCCCTCTAAAGTACTATAGCAAAACATACCCAAACTATCTATTCTAGGCCCTCCATTACAGATTCTCCCAAGAAAACCTCAATATATTGTAGCAGTTTTCATTCTTTTCCATTATCCCAATATAACCCTAATATAACCCCTATATAACCCCTAGATAGCCCCTGCATAGTCCCCATATATCCCTTATATAACTCTAGTATTTTACGCATTCCCCTTTGTTACGAAGTAGCCTGCTTCTGCTCGCGCTCCTTCCTGGCGCGCGCCATCATGTCCTGAACAGCCAATTCCGGGTGCTCGGGGGGGCCCTTAAAAGAAGTTTCCATTTTATCTTCCATTCTCTTAATATAACCCAACCCCAATATTACCCCTATATAATCCCTATATAACACATTATGCTGGTTTCCATTTTTTTCATTACAGGACCCCTGTAGCCGGCAGTAATGTGAAGACTGGCTTCACGCTCATTGATTGAGGCCTCTGTGAAGGGACCCATGGCGGGACCCCTAATCCAACTTCTCCATGTACACCGTATGTAGCCCCTTTTTGCAACCCATGTTCTAAAACTTCATTTCGGAAGTCCCCATACTGTTGATGCCAGGGTATGGAGGTCTATATCGGGGCCCCTGTTTAATGAAAACTTCACACACAAGCTGATTCTACAGGCCTTGTAGTCATCATACGCCGCCCGCGCTTTCTCGAGTGATGCGACATACTCCCGCACCTCTTTCTGCGGCGGTCGCTTTCGCAGCTCTTCCTGGCCGTGCTGGAAACTTATGGTTTACGGCTTAATGTTTAGGGAACGGTTCCTCATAGGAACAGTTGCTTAACACCCCTCAGGAGCCCCATTCCACGCAGCATTCGAGAATATCAGGCACTGCAGCAGGGTGGGCGTCCTTATGTTGCTTGTGACAGCGGGTCGCATGTGGTATGTCTCACAAACGCCCACGTGCTGAGATGACCTCTTTCCCAACTATTACGCCACCACCCCCTGAACCTTCAAATATACATATTCCCCATGCCTCTGGGCCTCTGTGGGGAATATCAAATTAGGGGGTTATACTCGGAATGTTCAACTAATTGGGGCTAGATCAGGCACGCCGTAGCCAGTCTTGGCAAACCAAGCTAAAAGGAGCCCCAAAAAACTTGAAGTTCTTCTGTTGTTGGCTAACAAAGTACAATATCAACGGTGCATACCACGTGGCGTCAAGTAAGACCAGGAAAGGTTGGGACCAACAGAGCCCTCCCATATGGAGGTAGATGGGTAGCTATGGGTGGGGTCTGAGTACACTAACACGGGTATAGCCACAGCTAATTTGTCGTCATCCATAAAATTCTTAGTGCTGGGGTCCACAATGAGAACAAGCAGGCAAGCTGATCCTCACATGTGTGAACCCGGCGCCGAGAACCGCAAAGCCCAAGAAATGAAGGGATAAACAAAAAACTGTGAAACACAAGACACGATATCCGAAGTCCCAAACCCCAACCGCCCCGCCTAAACTGGAGAAACTCTAGCCCAAGGAAAGACGTGAAAAAAATCGGAATTCCAAGGCTTCAATGCCTGGACTTGCCGCTCCACAGCTGACCGAAATCGTTTGGCCTTCTGTTCGGGGGTCTCCTGTCCAGATTAGGGTTTAGAATGTCAGGGAGTTTAATAGAGCTCGCAGGGCTTAGGACATTCCTGGGGCTTGGGTTTTTCGGATTCAGGGTTTGGGGTTCATGGAAAAGTTTAAGGCACGATCAACACAAGTAAGTACAAGAGGGCTTGCTAATGCCCCTGTCAGGACCCAGTCAGCAGCGATAATTGGGCGCTGCCACCAAAGCTTGCACGCCTCGCCACTAGCAAGGGTTGGGGCACAGCCAAAATTTTTGCACCGGTCTTGGAGAGATTTAACAGGGATTTGTGGCATGCATATGTCCCCCACTTGCAGGTTCATGGGTAGTTACATATGGGGGTTTGAACCAGGTGGCATTGCAATCTGGGGATTCTCAGACAAGGGCCCTTTGGGATATGTAGAGCGGATGAGGTTGGGTGAGTCATGTTGAAAAACCCCATCTTCTATCGTGGTCAATTCTGTTGCGACCTGTCAACGGCACAAAATACTTAGGCGACTGTAGAGTGCATGATGCAAATATGATTGACCTTTCAGACAGCTTGCATTTTGCCGCTCTGGCAATGCCGAAAAGCTGTAACCCTCACCCCATGAGACTGGCCCGAGCGTGAACTACCTCACTACAGTGTACAGTAGACAGGCGAGCGGGCGTCTTTTTTTCGACTATGCGCTACTCGAACGCTGACCCCCTAGAACCTTGAGAGCGGCAACAACAACACGCAGTTGTGTCACATGAACTGTACATGGACTTATAGCAAAGCAAGAGGACTGTACCCAACTCAATCAGGCACGAATTTACCTTCATGTTACATAATTGTCATAACTGTCCCGTTGGTCGGTTCTCTATCTCTCTGCGTGAAACTGGCGCATCTACAGAAAGGCTAACCTAAAGCTGGCAAGCGCAGAAACCCCTACCATTTTGTGGAAGACGCCTAGGGCACACGCAGAAACCTTGCTTGTAGCTAAGGAGTCCCATGCCTCCTCGTGGAAAGAGCCTCGGTTCCATAGCTCACTGGCAGGCTGACGTGCATTTTGCCTCTGACCTTTCCTTTGGTCCTGCCCTGGCGCAAACTTCCTTCGCTCCCGCGCAGCTGTGATATTATGGCGGAGTGTGAAATACAGGATAGTGTGACTGTCCTTATCCTCGGGACCAAGGAAGAGTGTCTCGATTCCTGCATACATAAGGAACTCACTGACCTTGATGCTGTATTCACATTTTGGTGCAGGATGGCTGGCCCATTTATTGATAGTCTGGTTGTGGCCCCACTCAATGATGCAAGCAAGCATGCACCCATTAGGATCTTCAGGGCGACACGTGACCTCAAACTCATTCCATGGCTTGCCATCGTCCTGAACAAAATGCCTGAGATCCTCAATAGTGTTGCCTAAGGCGAATCTCAGCTTAGGGCTCAAATTGAGGTCATTGTCACTGCTGGAACAGGGAAAGCTCATTGGATGTTGACTGTTGCTTAGTGCCGCCAAACCTGTATGCTGCGGAACTGCCATCGCCTCCTATGATGTCAACCTGATAACGGAAGCAATCTGCCACCATAGAGCATAACATTTCGCCACATAGCGAAGGACTTTCTGTGGCGTATGCAGTATTCAGGTGGAAAGAACAGATGCGTACTACGTGCATGCCACACCTGGCTGTCTTATTTTTGGCAGGATTACCCTCTTCAAGTAGTTCGCGTTGAGCTTCCATGTCGTGGGACAAACCTGCGCTCTCCCACTCCTCACGGCGAGGTTCATCCCCAAAGCACGCTTGGAAGATGGCGTATGTGAGAGGAGACTCCTTGTCTCACTTGACCGCGCGAATGCCTGCAATTTGTTTCACATAAGCACCCGGCCAAGGACTGGCTCGGACACCCCACAAGAGGGTATCATCACGGCTGGTTGCTACGAGCCACCCATTTTGCTGCATCACTTCTTTGTCTAGATGGCGTATCGTGCTAGCCTCTTGCATGATGAGGATATGGGCAATGATATTGGACTGGAAGTGCAAAAAGAGATTTCCACAAGCGGGATCTCGCTTCTGCTCAGCATAGGTTGCATCCCAATCTGTGAGATGGTGGAAGCCCTGAGGTGTGGAGCGCTTCCTTGATCTCTCCCCGTGACCCAAATTCAGCACACAGACAGAAAGGTGAGCCTGGCTCCTATTGACAACAAGACGCTTCTTGAGTGAGGTACCCTGAAGTGGTTCAGGCCTCCTTTGTGCATTGGTGCTGGAGCTGGCTGCTTCAGAAGAGCCAGTTGCATCTTATGTATTGCCACATGTATATCCAATTAAGGATCCTGCAATTCTTAGTCAGCGGCACTTTCTGCATATGCGCTTGTCGTGGTACTCATTGACAGCGGTCAAGATTTGGGTTGCTGACATTGCCTGCCGTTCATCCCCAGATAAAAATTGTGTATATTGTCGGACTTCATTATGTGCTGGATCACTGATGGGTGTCAATGTATTACCCCATGCTTCTTCCAGTCTTTGCAATTGACTTTGGAATCTTGACATCCATTTCATCCAACCAGATGAATCACGGCGCAAATTCATAAACTGCTGAAAACGATATAAGAAGACATCCACACTGCCTTTCACAAACAAAGGTCTCAGCGTCCGGTTGAAGTATGCCACACCATCTTCCTTGCTCTTCAGCTGACCCCTGTCCAGGATCTTCTGGTAGATGGTGGCATCTCCATCAAATCTGTTGGGCAAGGCTGACCTTCTCTTCTCTTTGTCCAGTTGAGTTATGTTGCACCAGTCATCTATTGCATCTTCAAATGCAAGCCCTGATGTTTTTCCATCAAACGAAGGTGGTATTTTTGTCCTCACCTGGGAAAATTGACTCATTCGAGTTCTGTCGTATGTCGACATTGCCTGCGTGGTATACGCCTCATCATAGAGGTCCTCATCAAGCACATCTAATCATCTGCCACGGCTGCTCTAAGTCTGCGCGAACCCTTCTCCGTTTGAGCCTCCTGCGTGTGGGGTACCCTTGAAATACCTCCGCGTAGACAGACCCTCCCCTGGAGAACAGCTCCGCTACCACGTTGAGATTGGCCGAGCGTGAACTAACTTACTACAGTGTACAATAGACAGGCGAGCGGGCGTCTTTTTTTCGACTATGCGCTACTCGAGTACTGACCCCCTAGAACCTTGAGAGCGGCAACAACAATCATGCAGTTGTGTCACATGAACTGTACATGGACTGATAACAAAGGAACAAGACTGTACCTAACACACCCCAAACACTAAGGTTCCGCAGTTCTGCGTGCCTCTTCTTCCTCCGCAGCTTGCTCGTTCAGCAGATCAGCCCCAAGCTCTTGTAGCTCGGCGAACCAGGAACTGTCTGCCATGGCTCACGGATCTATTCCGAAGAAAAGTAGGACTGGAGCAAGGCGTTTAGGTGGGGTGTGGGTTGAAGATCACCCTTGCAATCAGTTTGACTTTGTTTGTACTAACCATGCTTGGCGAAAAAGATGGGCACTGCTTAGTTCCCATGTAAATCCATGCTGTCACGGTACAGGCCCACACCTCTTGGGGTGTTGCATGACCCTAGACCCTAAACCCTAGAACCCTAAACCCTAAACATTAAACCCTAAAACCCTGAACCCTACCCCCTAAGCCCTACAAACCTCCAGGCTGAGCAGTGCGCGCAACCACGTCATCCCGAATCTTGTATCAGGTTGTATCAGCTATGTAACCTAAACCCTAGTATATGGGACTGTAGGCAACAAACTGGGTACAGCTTGAGTGCCTGAAGTGGCAGCACAGAAATCCGAGGACTTCACCGCAAGTCTGGCTCGGCTCAGGGATTAGGTCTTAGGTTTTCTGCTCTAGGTTTTTGGTTGAGGGTGCAGGTGTTTCTGGTTTAGATTCTAGGTTTCAGGGGTGTGTATATATATATATATTATATGTAGGGTTTTTTGGTTTATGTCATAGATTTCCTGATTAAGGTTGTAATTAGGGCGTTCTGAGGAGAAGCACTGTGACATATTGAAATCTCTGCTCCCAAATACCATCATGCAATGCAGAAGCGTCAATGCAGGACAATCATAGCTCAAGGTTATCACCCAGACGACCGTCCAGGCTTGCAGTCAGTTTGTGGCTGCCGGGTCTAGGGACTTTGGGCCCAGAGATCCTCAGGATGCACCCTCCCTCAAACTGACATGGAACCCCAGGGACATGGACTACTGTCGCTACAAACAGCCACATCTGGGACGTGAGGGTGTAGACTTTCGGGCAATAATCCTTCCATGGGGCCACAAGTTTCCATCAAGGCCCAGGAACTATCTCATCAAACACCCTGGGACAGAACAACTCTTTGGTAGCAGGTAGCTGTCATGTGTGAGTTGACACGACCTCATACTTCCTAATTTAGCCATGAATGCTGGCACAGTGACCTGCTTTAAGATACAAGGTCAGCGCACTTCTGCCTTGCCTATCAATCTCACGTCGCCTTCTGTGGGTCTGGGAAGCCGACTGATGGCGTTGTGGAGAACAGTGGGCGTCTGTAATAATTGGGCTTTAGCAAGCCCAACACCCCAACTAGTTAGTTACGCATGATTAGTTGAGAAGGGGGAATGCCTCATGGAGATGGTGACGGGGTCTACAAAGGATTTCCCTAGGAACCTATCCTCCTATCCATCTGTGCAAGACAAGAACACTCCTTTCATCCCTAAGTATAACGCTTAAAAGCCAATAAAAGAGCCACACATAATCCCAGTGTTCCCAAGCCAGCTTTGAGGAAACCGCATAGGATTCAGGAATCTACAACCAAGTAAAGCTGGCTTCTGGCTTGCAAATGCCCTACCCGTGTTTGACGGGTAGAAGGGAAGTGATTCTTCATAATTAATTCCCTACCATGTTTGTCTCCGGTAGTGTCTATCTTTTTGTCCATTCCAAACCCCCAAAGTCCGGCTTAAGCAGTTTGGGTTGGGAATTTAGTCCGCTGAGTAGGGAGTTGAAGTGTGAAGAATCCACAAATTTTATAAGGGGATTGTATAGGGTTATACAAAAATGCCTTCCCTCGCTGAGAAGCAGTTTCAGTGGTCTTGGCCGCCCGGCGCACATCCACGGTGATTTCGTCGTGGCCGCGGCCGAAAGCCGTGGCCAGCAGCTCTTGCGAGTCCCTGCAGCCAAGACTTTGGGACTTTCTAAGAATGAGGTTCTTATTATTACTACTATTATCATTATGATTACTATTCTTATTATTTTTCTATTGTTACTATTATTAATATTATTACTACTATTATTATTATGATTACTATTCTTATTATTTTTCTATTGTTACTATTATTAATATTATTACTACTATTATTACTATTATGCGATCCCTTCAAAGGCGAGCATGTGAGCAGCAGAGGTATAGGAGAATGTTGGGTTGAGGGCTGACGGATTGAGGTTCAGGGTTTCCGAAACTTGGGAGTCCTCTCTCTGGAGACCTTACAATCAGAATATTATTCCATTTTGAAAGTACACAAAAGGGATATTGATATTCCTCTTCGAACTTCCCACCTCAGGCAAGGTTGTGGAAAGGTGACCTATGCCTCTTCCGCTCAACTAATACTAGTGTCAGGCGATTACGCCCAGTGGGGTTTATGACAGCAACCAACAAGTCGGCAACACAACCTGAAAAGGGAGTTACTGGTGCATGAAACGAATGCCTAGACCCTCCAATGTAGTACCTTCTTGCTTACAAGAAGTGCGCCGCGACACCTTGCCAACCCCTGAAGGAACTACATGGAAGGTGCAGGTAAACCCTACGCACTAAACCTTCGACACTCAATCCCAGAAGCTCCACAACAATTGAAAACCTAAACCCACAACCCTCAACCCTGGCCCTAGACATTTAGTAAATCCCAAACTACTTCTGACGGATCTGGCCTGTCGCCAGCATCTGCCGCAACTGTCGCCCACCGCACACCTCTGCAAGGATCAATGCGGGTGTTTGTCAGATGAAGCCTACCGAAACAAGAGATGTAGTAATGATTAGTTGGGTCCCCACCACGGATTTTAAAGGAGACATATGGACAAAGCCCCATGAAGGCCTGAGGCTCCCTCGGGAACGAGCACCCTCCTCAAACCATACAGCAATAGTACATAGCATGGGCAATAGGAGTTCAACAGCCATCGTCATAACGTGCATCATAGACTCTGTAGATAGTGTCGCGCATTTCTTACCCCGATGCATAAGGATGCCACTACAATCCTGAAGCCAACCCTCAAGCTACTCAGGGAGCCCACTACTCCGAAATTCAGAATCTCATTTGAAATCATATTAGGGACCAAGTGTCAGTTACTGTAGGGCATATTCTTGAATTAAAGAGTATTGGGCCCTCTGGTCACGGCTCCAAGACGGCGGCTCCTGTATGCACGTCCTTCTTGACACCATTGGCGCCGTAGAAATAGTCCTAGCTTTGATTTTGAAACTTTGCAGGACCCTGCGTACCTTATAGACCCCAAAGCCTAAACCCTGACTCTGTCTGTTCTACCATTGTGAGACTATACAAATTTTTTAGGATCAACCAACGCTTGAACTTGACGTACTAAACATGCAAGATTCCTGTACCTCTGGGATCCTGGTATTAGCTAGAAAAGGTGTCAAAGGCTCTTGGTGTAGGAGGTCAACATGCCTTTCCCTAGCTCTCCGCAGCAAACGACGACAGACGTCCTCGTGGGGGTGTGAAGCACAGGGCGTGAATTCAAACAACATCGACTGCGGCAACCAGTGCATGAAAGCAGTGCCTGTGCCAAAAGAGACTGCGCCGTGGTGTCGCCCCTGGCTGCGGCGTCAGTCAGTCCCTGCCCAACAGGTATCAAGGTGGGCCAGCGGAAACTGCAACAGGGTATACATGTCGGTGTGTGGGTGGGGAAGATTCTGCATCAACAGCTGTATGATGATATCCCTTGCTTGGCATGACCTTCGCTGAGGCATGCGTACCATCACGACTTCCAGAACACCACAGTTTCTACTGGACACTTACAGAGGGACTGCCCTTGGTAAGCCTTAGACAGCATACGCATATACAAAAATAGTAATTATATGTCTACATCCCGAACCCAGCACAAAAGACCTCATGCGCTCCCTATTTCCGGTACATATGACATAATCACCCTTTGTCTCCCCTTCGGGTGCCCTTGGGCCCGGGAGCAAAATCATGCACAACCAGACTCAAGCTGAAGGGCTGTTCCTTGGAGACCCTCAGGATACATTTTCCGGGCTCCAGGCAAACAAAGCGCCACAAGATTTGAAGCAGTTTTTTGACGACAGATTGAGGCTCAAATACTGCTTCAAAGGCATAGGTATTTTGATGATTCAAATGCCCTAGAATGAAAGCAAAGACTTTCCAGAGCGAAAAATATGGTAAAGTTTAGGTTGAAGGTGATTTAAAGTGAAGTCTGAAACCCCAAGAATCTGGGGCCTTTCCACTTGAAATCATTAGCTCTGACGAAGTCTAGTTTATTCTGGGGGTAGCGCCCTTGTTTTCAAGAACCCGGATTAGGTACAATAAGGGGATTATATATGGAGCCCCTTACTGGAGCTGATAGGGTTTCTTGGGTGGGAGCGGTATCCAGGTTGTATACAGTGCTCTGCAAATGAATAGTCTGAGGCAGCAAGATGCCTTCCAACAACTGGCGGTCACAGGAGAGTGGACGAGTAAATCCCTAGAACAACCCCCACATAATTGAATGTATCTGTACATAAATGAGTACACACCTTATGGCTTCAGAGGGCGGCTTCATCCCCGTTTCATGTCAGGAAGTATAACGGGCAAGATATTCGAAAAGAGTCTTGGGGCAGATTGCACTACAGCCGCATGAAGATTTTGAGCAGAGAGTATTGGAAAAACATGAGGCTTCTATGTTATGCCTCTTAACTTCCAAATCAATCAGGAATTCCGCTGATAGCCTTGTGGACGCCCACATCCTCATCATTCTCCATGCCTGCAACTTACAGGTGCTTGAAGGGTGGAGGAGGCGATATAGGGGTTATTAGTCTTGGTTGGAGCATCATGAGGATCCACTCCCGAGCAGCACGAGGTCATTAGATCAGCTGAGCCGCGCCACGACGCATGGTCTTCAGCTCCTCGGGGCCATCTGCGCAAACGTTATCCGTGCCAGTAACTAAACTACTTGAACATCCTCTTGAAAAGGAATCTACTGCAATCTTGCTCGTCCACACGAAACCTGCGCACTCAAAATGCGAGAAGCAGGGCCAAAACTCTGTCTCGCCGACGGACTGGAACATACACACAAAGTCTGAAACTTGCCCGCTTTCTCCCCAAACCACCAAAAAGCGCTGTCTGAGCCATGCCAAGATGACAGATGAGAATAATTCCAAAGCCTCAAAGAA